TGACCGTCCTTTTAAAAGAAGAATCATCTTCATTTAGCACTGAAATTCGCACTTAGACTTTGGCATACGAGTTCAGTTCAGTTTTATTAAGGGCAACATATGCAAACGTCTCTGAGCTCCCTAATGGTGACACAATGACCAAGAGCTGCATCCGTACAGCATTTTCGAGATTCTACCGCTGGACCCCCAAAAGAAGCAGTCCCGCAAAACGTTGTGCGCGTAGACAGTGCAAGAGCGCCCTTGGATTCCATGTTATTTCAGTGTTGTTTTTCTTGTGTAGCATTCCACTTCTACTGTAATGTGCTTCATCCCAAATATTCAGTAAAAACTGGAAGTTCTTGTGGTTACAGGCTCCTTAGAGCATTATTTTGCCTTTAATTCGAAGCCTGACAGCACAATTGTACAGCACCATCAAGCTGAACCCCTTATTGCAAGCAATTAGAAAGCTTCTCCACAACGATAGGTTTGTACCGGTAGTCGTACCTCTTTCATGGGCGTTCCAAAGCCACATCTTGGTGTAAAATTAGTCGATTCTTCGGTCTCTTGCAAAACACCAAAGTGTTTTGTGAAATTTACCTAGAGACAACACTTTACTTCGTTATTCGTATGAATTGTACAAACTTTACTTCCAATTCAAGATAGTACAAAATACTAAAATACATAAAATAAGTACAAGTGAAAATTTCAGCATTAAGAGTTATTTAAGATGTCCACTTGCCCATCGCATGCATCTAATTAGTTCGCACAAATTGTGTAATGGGCAAGCAGGTTGTCGAAATTAAATGTTTCACTCACAGATATCTTAATTGTATTTCTACTCAACTCATTCACCTCGCCGACATCAATAACTTGCTCTGGTTTCGGCTAATAATCCGTGGAGAAGAAACTAACAGTATTTTGCAATAGATAGAATGATCGAAAACTGTTTAGAACTAGGAACCTTTGTGGCGTAACATGTTCCATGTAAAAGCAGACAACTTTCCTGTTAGTAAGTATGCGCATCGCCTGCAGTTGGACACAAATCCCCCGTACTTCAAGATGTCCTTCTGGCTATCTGTAGTTGGTCTATTTTTGTCAGTTCCCTGCAAAAGATAATAAGGTGAACAGAAAGCAAGTGTCTCAAAGGATGAAATTTTTAAATTACGTGAAGTGGCGATTCCATTATATCGTATTAATTTGACGAGGCTATTGTGTTTGCCTAACAAAGAATGTCAGCCTTGGATACAACTAATGAACTGGTACAATAATTTAAACAAAAAGAGCTCAAACTCCCACTTTCGAAAAAAATGATTTCAATAGCTTATAGAAACAGTCGAGATAATGCTCCATTTCAAATTGATTTGGCTTTGCGATGCTGTTTGCCTTTGGGCGAGCTGTAGTGTTCACCGTATTCAGTCATCTAAATATGTCAAATCCAGGACCCCACTTACACGCCGTCTGGCAGCCAATCCGAAGGTTACAACCGAGACACTCCTCGACTATCTGGTTTTGATAGAGAGCCGAATAAATGAAATGCTTTTGGTACGCCAGTTTCTTGCCCAGAACGATTCAGACGCACCCTTCATCTCCAAGGCCATTCTCATTGGCGGAAATCTGAGCGCGCCGGGTTCTTTGCCACCAACCATCATTCCTCCGAATGTGCATACAGATTTTGAAGAAGGTAAGTCTGGTTAAACGCAGCGCTTACTTGGTTCTAGTCCACCCCATTTATTAAAAGCTCAAATTTTGTACTGCACTTCCGTGATACGTCATGCATACTCATTTCCACTTACTATTCCCATGCAGTATTACCTCCTCACGCTGGGTGAGTGCTGTACGATTCCAAATGGAAGCTTTTAACCCTGGCAAAACAGTATAGTTCAGAAAAATAATAATTCTGGAACATTATCCAAACTGAGTGATACAGCAAAACACAGCTAGAAAGATATATTGAAAGCACGTAACATTGGGCCCTACGTCGCTGCCGGCTGACTTTTGAGTCTGTGTTTACGCAATAGAGCGACTATCAGTCTTTCCAAAAACGGCCGCCTTGCTTTTGACTTTGACACGCCTACTAGAAAGAACTGCAACAGTACAACGGAGGTAGTTTTTTTACTGCACCAAATGTACAAAGGCTTTTTTAGGCAAATTTCTCAGAGCCAGCACCATTCAGAAATGACTGCCATACTAATGTTCACACTGTAAGGGTCACCTTGACTGGAGCTCAAAATGTTTGCTAAATGGGCTGCAATACCATAACTGTATCAGATCTCTGGCAACTATAACTGCCCTTTACAATTCTGAACTATGCTTCATTAACCGTCATAATCGAGAGTCATTTAAACAGATGCAAAGGGGTCTCAGGTGCTCATACATCATAAATCTTTGTACTGCTTTGGAAGCAGCGAAACATTACATCAAGAAAGGTAATAATAACAGTCGATTCCCCACCTGAGTGATTAAAATCACGGTCAGAACGTGTCCAAAAGTCCTCGCAGTACTTTGGTTAAACAAAAATAGCGAAAGTGCACATATGTATCTGTTTACAACCTATCACATATCTTACCGTGAGAGACATTTCAAAATATCTTATTTACTACTGTATAAAGCGCTGTTGAAAACCCCTTAGGAGAGAGAGAGGGAAAGCGAATCAGTTTTGTCTCTGAAGCAAACGTCAGGTGAACTCTCTCTAAAAACTATTACTGTAGGTTGTCTCCTAAAATGTGACCTTAATTCGAGGAGGTCATCTCTACAATATTTGCAACTGAGTATCATTAATTTTTTTGAAGTAACTGAAAGTCCAGTTCCCACCTGAAAGACGGTTAACAAAATCTAGGTTGCATAGCAGTGAGTTAATTTCTTTCCTAATAGGTCACAAAACGGTCGAGCGAATAAGAGCGGCGGTAGGCACCGACAAACTGTTGACTACATCTCCTGCACTAACTGGTCGTCTGCCAACATGGCTTACCCGGTTGTTCTGTGATTTGCACGTGGTAGTCTGATTGCAGTCCATACCGCCAGATGGCCGAGGCATCCTGAGCGCGAATCCGATTGGTGTGCATTGGCGCCAGTCTGAATAGTCGACCAAAGTCCGATAAGGACTGACTCATGCAACGAAAGTGATAGAATCTAGGATTCATGGAGTTACTGTCTATTTGGCTTCACATCACCTGTAAACCTTGCACATTTTGTACATGCAATGGTAAATGGGCGCTCACCGATCGGCACGGAACTCACTCGTTCCGCCCGTGTTGTGCGTTGGAACTCGTTCTCGAGCCAACCAGCCGCCGTTCAACGGCTAGCATAGTATAGACAGAAATACATTTCCGGATGCAAGGCCCTATAGGGGCATGGCTAGCTGAAGTGGATATAAGAAACCCTGAAAAAACTTGTGTTGCAATATCCACCACATTTTTACCTATATAGGAAAAAGATAGGCTTCAGTTGCTCAGTTGGGGACCTCTGACCACCACATGAACTTTGTTTAGTTCGGAAGCCTAT